AGAATAGAACAGAATAGAATAGATGGAGTGCAATGGAATGGAATGGAATGGAATGGAATAGAATAGAATAGAATAGAATAGAATAGAATAGAATAGAATGTTAATCTATTCATTTCTGCACATTCATATATTTTTTCAATTATTTTTCCCTCTATCGGTATCTTATCACTTTTCCAATTTTGAGCAAATACAGTTCTAGCTGCTGTTAATACATGTATAATTAAGCATGTTTTTTTCTTTACTATAACCTTCAGGTACCATTCCTAATAAAAAAATATTTCAGGCTTCAAATCTATATTGAATCCCAGGAGTGGGATTTACTGGTTTGGCAAACCAGTAATTAAAAATGATAACATTAGCTACCGGTTCACCCAAACCAGGGTGAACCCATAGCTATCCACCCCTGCCTAACACCCACAGTGACTCCCTTAACAATTGTTGCAGGAGAAGTCATAAAAAGGGGAGCAAATTCACTTCAGTGTCTTGCTTAGCAACCTGGGCTCAATTGCAATAGTGTCAAGCCCGAAACTGACATCTGCGTAGCCATTTTATTTAGCCTTATTATATATTCCTTCACTTTCTTCCTCTTTGCCGGTTAAGGGGGGGGAAAGGGTTTTGGGCTTGCCACATTCCTAAGGTGGGAGGAGTGGAGATAGAGAGAGTTGTTTAGGCTAGGTGGTTCTTCTTCCCGTGGGAACAGAAGCTGACCCTGCTGAGACTTGGAGGTGGAGATTGATGACATCAGGCAACATTGCTTTACTTCTATTGGGGAATATGACTTTTGGGGGCCGTTTCTAACTTCCAATATTATGTGGTGTAATTCCAGGTTGTGTTAGATCCGGAATCACCACGGACTTTGCCAATCTGATGCTTTCCTAAATAAAATAAATTATTATGGAAGATGGACTTTGCTCTTTTCTTTTTAAACGGATTCCACTTGGAAACCTGACAAGAAGTAAGTTGAGAACTACCTGTAGAGAGGAGAGATTTCGGTAATGGTGGCTTTAGTTATCACCGGGGTAGGCTTCCATATCTATATTTATTTTGCTGGCCTGATGGGACCCCTTTCAGGAGAGAAATAAAAATAGACACCATATGTTCACGATTCCTTCATTAAGAACTGAATTCACGGGGTCAGGAAACAAGAAAGAGAAGAAAGGACATCTTCTCAAAACATCACAAGGGACCTGGTGGCCAGGATGATTATCTCAGAAAGGTTAATTAGAAACTTTTTATTTAGAATTTAGAAACTTTAGAAAATTACAGATTTATTTATTAATTATTATTGTAAGAGACTTGGAGGTACCTCAACCAGGCAGGACTTTTGTCATTCCATGCTGGAAGTTAAATTAAAGTCCATTTTGTAAGTGTTCACCAGGTCTCTGTCTCTTTTAATTTAAAAAAAAAATTCCAACAAATTTAGCTTCTGGTCTCAAAGCTCAGGTCTAGATAGACATCAAAAAGACATTGTTGTTGTCACCCTGTTCTCCAGGCAATAGCGACGGCTTCTTAGATATAACTCGCAGATCTAAATTATATCGATCTTTTTTTTTTTTTTTTAAGGTATAGAGAAATGCTGTAAGGGCTACAGGATTGATGTGTGTGTAACACTGCATTTTTATTCTACCTTGGGGTTGAGGTTCTTTCTTTCTCAGTGGAAGTTAAGAGAATAACAGAGATGGGAAGGAGCCTCGGAGGTCTTCTAACCCAGCCTGCTCCTTAGGCAGCAAACCCGATACAGTTTCAGACAAATGGTTATCCAATCTCTTCTCAAAAACTTCCAGTGTTGGAGCATTCACAGCTTCTGGAGACAAGTCATTCCACTGGTTTAATTGTTCTCACTGTCAGGAAATTACATACAGGGACCTTGGAGTTCTTCCAGAAATGGTATTCAGCAGGTTCTGGAGAACCGGTAGCTGAAATTTGGAGTAGTTTGGAGAACTGGCCAACACCGTCTCTGACTGGCTCCACCAACCCCCTCTTTTCTCTGCCTCCTGAGTCCCAGCTAATCAGCTGGGTCTTCTTTGGTTGCCCTGCACAGGAGAATGGAGCTGGAAAGCAGGTTAGTGGGGTAAGGAGGGAATGGGGATTTTGCAGTATCCTTCCTCTGCTATGCCCACCACGCCCACCAAGACATGCCCACAGAACCGGTAGTAATTTTTTTGAATCCCACCACTGAGTTCTTTTAGTCCAAACCCTTGCCAAAGCAAGAGTACCTCTACCATCCGTAGTATGCTTTATTTATATGTTTCAAAGATCCCTGGTAGGCGTTCTAGATTAAAATAAGATGAAATTACAAGAACCGGGCCTGGCTAGTCTAGGGAAGAGAAGGACCAGGGGAGACAGGAGAGCAGTCTTCCAGTATTTGAGGGGCTACAACAGAGAGGAGGAGGGGGTCAAGCTATTTTCTAAAGCACCTTTGAAGTCCAGACAAGGAATAATGGATGGAAACTGAACAAGGAGAGATTCAACCTGGAAATAAGGAGAAACTTTCTGACAGTGAGAACAATCAACCAATGGAATAGAAGTTGCCTTCGGAAGTTGTGGGAGCTTCATCCCTGGAGACTTTCAAGAAGAGACTGGACTGCCCTCTGTCAGAAATGGTGTAGGGTCTCCCGCTTGGGCGGGGGGGTTGGACTAGACGACCTACAAGGTCCCTTCCAACTCTGTTAATCTGTAATCTGAAGCAGGATTACAGCAGCCTCAAG